GTGGCAGTCAATCACACTATTACGTTGGTAAAAGAATAGCACAAGAGTTGGCGGTGGGTGGTGATGACTAGCTGCCTTCCCTCTAGTCTTAAACTACTAAATTAGGGACGGCTAGCGCAGATAGCCCTCGTGTAGCTTTGCGACGAAATTAGAAAAACAAACAAACAAAACCAGAGAATAATAATATTAGGCTTATTATATTTTTAAACTATACATTCTTTAATTGGTCTCTTATAGTTTTCCGAGAATATATTTGTCATAAGACCACTACCAAGGTTGTTGTGTTCCAGCCACTATAATAAGCTCTGGCATTAAGCAAAACGCGTTGTCAGCAGTTAGTAGGGCGCACATTGGTGATTTAAATAAAAGAAGGAATATTTTTCGACATTGATTGGTTTAGTTTGCATTAAACAGCCCTCCAACACGTTTTTCACTTCTGAACTATAATATGATAAACATAGTGCTTAGCGTTCGGAATATAAATTTTTGTAGCACAAATTACACTATAGTAAGCTTATAGCTACAACAACAACAACGAAATGGACAAAAAAGTTAGGTAGACCCGGGTGAATGAATAGAACGTTATGACTTACTTTTGCGCAAGCTCTAACTAAGATTGTTTTCTATCAGTGTAAACTGTGACTCGTTGTTCATGGTATATTTGTGTGTGTGATTACTGGCGAGGAAGTTATTTTGTGAACAAGTATTGATTCGGATAAGAGTAAAAGAAAAGCTAAAGTAAGTAAAAATTTATTTACTAGATACTTTCTGTGTACAGAACAGGAACAACTGATCGAACATATAAATTATAATAAATATTAATTAATGGATCAGATACTTGTTGTGTATACTGAAGAAGTTAAGCCTTAAGGCTAAGCAAGTGTTTATATTTTACTTTTTTCATTAAATTTAAAAATCAAAATTTACAAAACTTTTACTGTCTTAGTCTTTAACTTCACTTATTAGTTTTCTCAGTTTTAAACTTCTGTTCTTTGTTTGTCAAAACAAAACAATAGGTAAATCTAAATTTCTAATACACTCGCTTTCCACAATATAATAATGAATATATTGAATGTGCCAAGGCTCTTTCTCCCCACAGTGAGTCATCCATCACTCCCAGTAACATTAATTAGGATATATTAAAAAAAAAGGAGTATCGTTAGGCCTATTAAGTACTAAGCCTAAACTTTTTCGAAGGCAAGCTTTCCAATTCTTCATAACTTTTCCATTTCTTTCAACTAAGTTTAACTTGTGAATTGTAACATGAATGTTGTATATATTTAATCAGGAACTTTAACTTAAGAATTATACCATTAATTTATCATTGTTTTTCTTATATTTGTAATTTACAATTTTATCTTTCCTCGTGCAGTGCAAACAATGAGCCAGTGGTTGGTGACCAATTGAAAATTTTAAGTCTTAAGTATAGTTATTAATAATAATACTAAGGAAAGATCATTTCTGCTAGACTTTAATTATTATAATTACATAATGAAGATATTTTCTGTACTACTGAAAGGTGTAATTTAACTTAGATTGGATTATGCTGAACTGGATATAGACCAAGATCTAGCCATTATTCCATACTTCTGAGTCCTGACTCTCAATCATATTCATAATCATAGCCACAAAATTGTATTATTAGACGTAATCTAAATCATTAAATGTATAGTATCATACTTATAATTACTTTATTATAGTGTAACTATAACAAATTGAAATAATGTAGGTTACTAGTTACATAGTGAGCAGGCTGTTATCCAACAGCTAGGCAAGAGGTTCCGTAATAATTACAGTTTTATATTACAGACTTTTGTGGGAAGTTTCAGAAATTAAGATAGTAAATTATTACAATTAGTATTGCTGTAATATTTGGGTTTTGTTTATTATTAATAACGTACATTTCTAGAAATAGCTACAATTTTTTATCTTGCCAAACTGAAACAGGCTGAAATAAATGGGTAAGAAAAAAAATTAAATCCTAAGTAATGAAAGAAAATTTATTAAATTTATCTGTATCTTTTGTTTTTCCAATTAATATTCATAATTACATTTTAAAGAATTTTATTTGTTTTTTGTAGTGTTACATTAAGTATTTTAGAAATGTTTCCTTTCTTTCGCTAAACAATACAGCTATTCAAGGTAAATAATGATAAAGTTCTTTAGTTCTGAAGTAATACTGCTAGTTTTTGTACTCCTTTGTGAATA